TAAAATATTTTTAAGGAGGAGATCAGTGGGGTATCTGTACGTCTTCATGATACAGAACTTACTGCAGCTGCACATGAGATCGGACTCACTAGCATGGAAAGTGAGCTGACAACGCTCAAACGCGAACAACAGGCTCCAATACTGAATCACATGGCGGCTGTGGAGGACTGCAGGCGCTGGAAAAATGTTAAAATGTGTGGCCTCGCTGACAGTATTACCATGGCTGAAATTCCACACATAGTGAGGAAACTCCTTACAGCCTCTTCTCTGCAAAACAGGCTAAAGCCATGATCCTGAATGGCAACTACTGACTACCGGCGCCACAGGCGGGCGCACCAAACATCAGCAGAGATGTCATTATCCAGTTCCAACCTGGCCCAGACAGACAGGCATTTACGTCCGTAATACACAAAAAATCCCCATACAATTTTGAGGAGCACACTCTATCTTTTTATCCTGACCTGTCCAGAGCAACTATGTACTGGTGGCGGTCTCTACGACCTCTATCCATGAAACTTACTAATTACAAAGTGCCCTATCGGTGGGGTTTCCCAACGTGCCTCTTAATACCCAGAGAATCCGGGACCCTCAAAGTTACTGAAGCCACAGAGACTGCCAGCACACTCCAAAAACTTGGAATTTCAACCACTGCTGTGGCAACTCATGCCCCTGGGGACTCATCGCAGCCCGCCACCTGGGATCTGTCCTGATCTCACCCATTCACAGAAGCCCAAAGGAAGGATCAGGCTTCCACGGAGATACCTTGAATATACCAAGCTTAAGTGGAAGGGTTTAGGGGGGCTACTAATATGGATGGGAGGAGGGGGAAGGTAGAAAAATAATTGGAAGGGGTTAGAGGAGTACTAATATGAATGGAAAGGGTAGGGTGGGTTCTAATATGCATGGAAGGGGTTAGGGGGGTACTAATATGCATGGAAGGGGTAGGGGGGTTAATATGCATGGAAGGGGTAGGTGGGGTTCTTATGTGCATGGAAGGGGTAGGGGTGGTTCTAATATTCATGGAAGGGGTAGGGGTGGTTCTAATATTCATTGAAGGGGTAGGTGAGGTTCTAATATAAATGGAAGGGGTAGAGGCGGGTAGTAAAATATATGGTATGCACTTCTGAACGTGTCACTGAAGGGCAGTTAGGAAATGTGGTCATCCTAAGTCAGGGACAGTATTACACAATCTGTATATGTATAAAAACATATAAAAAGTAATCTGCAAAGTACAAAATGTTTGTGTCATATGTCGTGCTAAAAATTAAGCTAGGAATGTGCATATTTTTTTAAAATAATTTTTAGAATAATGATACAGACATTTTATTGCTTACATTTGTGATGATTCTTTTTTCCCCTCTATATTCAAGGGACACTATAGTCACCAGAACCACAACAGCTAAAGGTAGTAGTTCTGGTGTCTATAGCATGTCTTTGCAGGCTTTTTAATGTAAGCACAGCCATTTCATAAAAAGGCAGTATTTACATTACTGCTGAGGCATACCTCTAGTGGACACTCAGATGGCCACTAGAGGTGCTTCCTAGTCGAGACATGAATGCCGCCCTATGAAGTATCTGCGCATGTGCAGCAAAGCTGTGCATGCGCACCAGGGAGCAATGACGCTTCTGAATAGAAGCGTTTTATTGCTCCCTGCTCGCACCCTTCTATTTCGTCATTTTGACAAAATAGGGGGCGCGGCATCAGGAGGATCCCGGCGCTGTATCCGGGTAAGTAAAACCCCTTCCCTGTAGTGACCCTTTAATGTTATTATTTTATCATTTATATAGCGTCAGCAAATTCCATAGCGCTGTACAATGGGATAAACAACTCATAGTTTACGGAATAAGAATATACCCTGCGAGTAAAAATGCTATCCCCCCAGATTTTTGGGGGTTCCTACGCCCATAACTCCCATCAGGCTGAGTCTCGACCTACCACCTCCTGCTGGAAGAGGAGATCTTAAGAGGCCAGTGGCCTTAGCTGTCCCTTTCTAGCTTTGTAAGCTCATTAGATAACTTCTCCAGGGCAGCAGGCCCAATTTAAGTATGTACTTCTTATCTTATCTAAAAAAATTACAATTGTTATCTTGTTATATATCATAAAAAATGTTTGGGTTTTTCTTTCATGCCACTCAATGTCAAACTATGTTGTCTGAAAACTTGCTACAGCTGTTGTGGCATGGTGAGTCAATATGTATTTTATTGCACTGCAAGAAAAAAGAATTTTAAGAAAACTGCTTTGAGCTTGGTTTTGCTCTCTTTGGCTATTAATTCCTCATTTTGTAGTTTAGCGAATGTAATTGTATTTTTGCAATTATTGGCTTTTTTATATCTTTTATAGGATGCTTCTGATTTGTCCGATTAAATGCTTTGTGTGTGTGTGCTTTTTTTTCTCTTTTCTTTTTTCATTTGTCAATGCCAATATTTATTTTTTTATACTTAGAATTTAGTTCAGGTATTTACACTGATAAATGACAGACAGGAAAGGAATACGTACAAAGTTCTTCACATTGGTACATTCATCAAACTTTAACTAGGTGGTTATGCCAATATTTTATTACAAATATAACAATTTTTTTTTGCTGGTTAACAAGTAGTCCTGCATCACCACAATACCATTTACAGGCAGATTAAAGGAGACAGGATAATGACATGAGATAGTACTGCACAATTTTTAAATTAATAAACCATGCCTATAGACAAAGCGCGTTTGAGCAGGGTCCTCTTTAACCTATCGTTCCTGTAAGTTTTCTTGTAATTGTCCTATTTATAGTTAAATCCCCCCTCTCATAATATTGTAAAGCGCTACGGAATCTGTTGGCGCTATATAAATGGCAAAAATAATAATAATAATAATGTCAGTAAATAGATAAGAAGTCATAGCGTTAAAACAGGGCACATATCCTTGCAATTTAGTTATGAGAGACATATTAACTTGCAAGGTAAACTTTGCTTAGGAATGTAGGATATAAACAAAGAGTGGACTGTTACTGCAAGGAATTTTGTAAGAAAATAGATTCAAAGCAAAGAAAATACAGGAGTCCACCATATGAAAAGTGAGCCAGTAGGAACTGATATCTTCGTGGAAGGCACAGTGAGCCCCCTCCCCCCCCCATCCTCACCCGATCCCCAGCTTGATTTAGAGACTGCTGGTCACTCAGAGACCTTCAGGGTAGGCATGTGTAGCGTGGGAGCATGCATGGCGATCCTTCCTCTAATGTCCCCAGATCTGTGCTAGTGCTGGAGCCGCCATTTTGAAGAGGTAGGAGACTGAGTTTCCCTGAGCGTTGGTCTAAGAGTAGACAGTGCCGTGTTATCTTGTTCTCTACTGTGGAGGTAAAAGTGCTCTGTGATTAGGGGGGCCTCTAGGGGCCGGGCGGGGAAGGGGGGTAGAGTGCAGATTTCCTCTCCGAGTGGCAGGATGTGGCGTCTGGAGATAAATTTATTCCTGACATTTGCAGTTACATTATTTTGCCTTTATTTATTTTTATTCTGGTTTTATTCTTGCACTGGATCTCAACACCTGGCTGTTTCCATATTGTTCTCCACTGTCCACAATGGCTGCAGTTTGCCCTTCTTTGGGATTCTTTTGACTGATGGATTGTGGGTAAATTAGAATAGTAACTGAAAAAAAACATTGCTTTAGCTCCACCTAGTGCAAGAAAATGTGACAGAAAAATATGCAGAAATAAAAAAACATAAGAATTAAAACAACGAGAAATAAAGGAACAAAAATGATTAATTAAAACAAATACAAAGTGACAGAGCTGCTTGTATTAGTATTTAGTGGGTACATAAACATTCTCTTTTTTAATGCTGGAACCACTGATTTAGATAATACAAGAAACCAAATTCTATGACTATTCTTGTGCCAAAAAATATCTGTGGATCTAAGTGGATAATGTTCTAGTAGGACAAGTATCTAAACGATGTCTTTGTCAATTCTATATTCACCTATTTACCTTGTAGACCAACAGCAAGCAATTTCTCACTTGAATGGCCAGTCAGTTACATTTTCTATGCCCTGTTAACTTTCAATTTAGTTTAATCATAGATGAGTAATATTGATGGTATTTTACTATGATGGTCACCTTTTGGTTGAATACATAATTTTTTTTTCTAGAAAAGAGGAACAATTAATTGTTCAGTTGTAATTATATTGAGATATTTTAGAATTATGTCACAGTAAGGACAACTCAGAAATCAACGTCTAGAGGCATCAGTGTGTAATTAATTTTTCAGCTATAATTACTTTGCATTACATTTCCCAGAAATGTGTAAATACATGATCATAGATAATTGCCTCAATATTTCCAATTACACATTTAATAAAAGTGAAAAATTAAATGGCTTAAAATTATAGGTTAAACTGATGTACTTTGAATTAACGCATTCTCAGATTAGAATCCATGTTTCCTTGAAAATTGGGCAGACTAGATGGGCCAAATAGTTCTTATCTGCCATCACATTCGATGTTTCGATGTTTCTGCTGAGTCTTTAATAATTGTGAATATATTCTGATAAGATGAAGGAAAATGTAAACCATGCTTACATAGAACTTTTCTTTCCCTTGCTATTAATCATGGTAGCATCACCTGTGGGTAGCTCCACCCCCAACCAGATCAGGACAGAAAATAAACCAATTAAAACAAGAATGTGTGCAGAAGGGTTCCTACCGCCTTCCATACAACAGTCTTGTTCTAAAGCAAACAAGGCAAGAGAGATTGGTGTTGCCATGATGAATAGCCAGGATAAATTCTAAGTAAAAGCTGCACTTCTAGTTGGTGGATGGAATCTCATGGTTGCTTTAAAGGGGGATGAGGGGATTCGAGGCCCATAAAATATTGCAGAGGGCTGATAGAGATGAGGATTGGACTTTTAGAGCATTGAGGCTAAGGCCTTTATCTAGGCCTGTCTGAAGAAATTCAAAAACCTATTGTCACGGAAGCTTCCGTGCTGGGGAGGCATAACAGCTAGCCTGCTGTCCACAGACTATTGGCCTGGTCACAGACTTTAAAATGATATACAGGATATGGGGTTACATTGTGTTAATGTTGAGTTATTATGTAAAATGTTGAGCTGGATAAAAGCTATTGTGTTAATTGTATTATGTAAAAGCTATTGTGCCATGTGTCTTGGTGTCCAGCAGGAAATTAAGTTATCCTATTTAGGCTTGATTAGAAGATTGTGCTTGTCCCATTCTAAATGTGATAGATGTGAGGCTTGAGTATTGATCTGTGGTTGGGTATTGATGTTTCTTTTGGATGTGGTATTGGAACACAAGGCTTGTTCATATGAAAGGACTCCTTTGAGGGAATCAAGACAGATGGCTAATGAGAGAGTTAGTTTATACTGAAACCATAATTCAAGGCCACTTGTGTGTGACTTCTCACAACTTACAGAGTAGCTCTGTTGGGGTCACAGCTTAAAAGAGGAATTTGGGTTGTGGACTCTGACCTCCCATATAGTCAGATTGACCCCTTTTGAATTTTTTTTTTTTTTGTACCTGGGAGATAATTGAGTTTGTACAGTTCCTGATTTAATTATCTCCCAGGCACAGGGGAGGAGATTGTGTGTAATTGTTTGGAGACCTCTGCTGTGTATAACTTGGCTTTACCATGTCCCATTAATAACAGTTCTCTTGTTTTACCCAATACGACTGGTCTTGTCCACTATATTGGGGAATTTTACATGGTTCCAGAGGGCCAGAATCACTGTATGCTGTAGCTGAATCCAGGACCAGCGTAGGATTAGAGAAGCGGCTACCAAGGGACACTAAGAGATCCTGCAACCCGTGAAACCTATAGATGAGTAGTATGTAGAAAATGTAAATACTTAGCCCAGTTTTTGAAGGTGTCCAAAATGTGATAATAGCATGACAAGATAGAAGGCTGTCATGCCTTCAAAAAGTGATTAATTACAGACTCTGACAGGCCTTGGTTTTGGAGTAACCTTCTTTCAAAATCCATGCCCAATTTCCTGATGGAGGGGTTTAGGTGGTTTGCTGGTTCTTAACTGTAGTCTTCAAGGAGGTTATTGAGCCATTTTCAGGAGGACATGATACCATGGCCTCCTGAGCCAAAAGGGAATGATGGCTCTCTTTAGTGTGTTTGAGGTTGATCTGAGGTATGCCCCAGCCATGTGTCAAGAGTTTGAAAATCTTTCAGACACCATTTTCCAGGGAGAATGAGGGATCTGCTGAGATAATCTGCAAGAAGATTATCTGAAACCAGAAGAGTTTTATAAGTTTCAGATGATGTTGAGCCATGTTCATCAGAGTAGTTAGTTCTTTGAGAAGTGTGTTGTTCCTTGTACCTACCTAATGATTTATGTAGCCAGCAACAGCTCTGTTGTCTGTCCTATATATAATCCAAGGAGTTTTTATTATGTGCCAGAATTTCTTGATGACATTTGTGATAGCTCTTAGCTCTCTGAGATGTGAGTGAAACCTTTGTTCCAATAGGGTCTAGGTACCTTAGGTCCAAGATGACCCTATGTTTGCCCCCCATGGCAGAAGGCTGGCATCTGTAGTGATAATTTCTCACAAGTGTTCTTCTAGACAGAATCATTTTAGGAGATTTTCTTCTTGTAGCCACCATCTTAATTGATTCCTTACTTAAGGAGGACTTTGTATAAGTTGGTTCCGGTTGATTTCGCAGATGTTGAACTGACTCAGAAAGTTAATCTGAATAGGTTTGGTATTCCACTGAGCCCAATGGTCTAGTCCTATTGTGGATGTTAGAGATCTTAAAATGCTCATGTAAGTCATGGCAGTAATCGTAAACTTCTGGAAAATTAATCACAGCTTATTCCTGATTCTGAGTATTCTTTCTCAAGATACATTGATTTTTGACTTGATCGTGTTTTTAGAAGTTACCAGGAACACTGTTTGATGTGACGGAATTAAGGAGCTTTTTTCAAGTTAATTACCCAGCCATGTTCTTGAAGACAACATATGGCTAGGTGGATGTGTGTAATTGCCGTTTGCAGTGTTGAGGCAACAATCAGGATATCATCCATGTAATGGAAGATTATTATTATTAGCACTTTAATGGGATTAACAATAAGAATATGAAACATAGTGTACCTAAACATTGTAACACCTGTAATGAATTTGATTTTAAAGACTTTATTTGTATTGGGATCGATATGATTATACCACACTGGAGGGGCGGAGATACTGAAAAATGTTGGCCATGAGGGAGACAGAGTGGATATACAGAATGAAATCCTCATTCCCCTCAGGATTTCACACAGCTCTCGATATATTTGTTTTTTTGGAATGATTATGCTGGTCAATTTTATATTAACCTCTTTTCTCTTTTTATTATTTGATCATCATGATTCTTTCCTCCTTCTTATTATATATTTTATTATATAATTTTTAACATCTTTTGTATGTTTAAAGAAAAAAAAAATTCAGATATATTATCTGAAATTCATTGCCTCCATTTTCAAATAAATATGTGTATGTTTCTCGAAATTTGTACATTTATATATCTCTTTAAGTTTTCATAATGTACAATATTTATAATATGTATGTCCTTATTCCGACACTTACATAAAATCTTCTTTGATGTATAGAATTTTTAAGAAATTATAAGATTATCACTATGTATGGTAATACATGGAAACATGGATTAATTGTAAACCCATATCCAAATGTTAGAAATATAAATTAACTTATCCCCACACAACATACCAGACATATTTCATTGTATTTTTATTTTTATTTGTTTTCACATTTAGATTATTATAAATTTATTATACTTCTTCCTACCAGTCCAATTTATCTCATTTTCAGGCTGTTTGATGTCTATGTTAAGAGATAGCTGGAAGTTAGGCAGGGCTGTAAATACAAACCGCAATGATTTTGAACATTTTTGCTGTAGAATGTTCATAATGCGGCTGTGTATATGATCCATAAAGTTATTCTGCGTTCCAGCGTGGTCGCGCATGCGCATACGGAAGTTGATAGACGAACCGGCGGATTTAAAAGAGAGAAGACCGGGAAGAAGAAAGAAGCTCCTGAAGAAGTCGGATAGACGAAACACGTTGAGCAAAGCACTATCAAGAACCCTGTGTTTTGGTATCCGCAGTCTTTTTTTAAACATGTATTCTATGGATTTTTAACATTTTGTGTATTGTGCGTTTTTGCAGTCTGTGATTGACTACTATAAGTAGGTTGCTGGTCTAACAAGCACTGTGCACTTTCCTTATTACTCCTTCACGTTAGCACATGCACTTTTATTATTATCTTAGTATCATGTTTTGCTTGAGCTGCTGTTCCTAAGGTCTCTTGGCCTTTTTTGGCTTTTGTATATTTGCTATATTGCATATATGTTGTGCTGTGATTCACGTTTTCATTTTACCTGTAATAAATTTTACCTGTGATAAAGTGGATTTTTTATCTCTACTTACGATTTCCATTTTGTGACTGAATTATTAAAGCGTCCTGTTTTTTCTGATAATATATTTCCGTTTTCTGTTCCTAAGATTATTATTTCTTGGACTTGGAAAAGTTATGAGAGTAATGAAAATTGGAGAAGGTTCTGGACTTTGACCAGAGAGGAGGCCTGTGAATTGATAATGTATTTCGAATATGTGAAATTGGAGGAACTTGCAATGGCAAGTATAGACCTGTGAGCTTAACTTCTGTGACTGGGAAAGCATTTGAATGACTAGTAAGGGCTAATATTCAGGAATTCATTAGGAAGAACTTTGTTATTAGCAATAATCAGCATGGTTTTATGAAACATAGGTCATGTCAAACTAATCTAATTGCATTCTACGAAGAAGTAAGTAGAAGTATAGATCAGGCTGTTGCAGTGGATGTGATCTATTTGGATTTTGCCAAGGCATTTGATACAGTTCCACACAATAGGTTAGTGTTAAAACTAAAAGAAATTGGTCTAGTTGATTATTCTTGTTCTTGGGTAGAACATTGGCTTAAGGATAGGAATGGAGCATTTTAGTTATGAAGAAAAGTTAAAATAATTTAATCTCTTTAGTTTGGAAAAACAGCACCTCAGAGGGGATAACATTATACAAATATATCCAGGGCAAGTACAAACCATTATCTGGGAATCTATTTATAAACAGGACTTTACTTAGTGCACAAGGTCACACATTTAGGCTGGGAGAAAGGAGATTTAATCAAAGTAAGAACTATAAGGATGTGGAATTCTCTGCCTGAAGAGGTGGTTTTATCACAGTCCATACAGATGTTTAAACATAAATTGGATAAATACTTGCAAAAACATAACATACAGGGATATAATTTCTAATTAGTGGGATAATAGCTGCTTGATCCAAGGAGATATCTGACTGCCATTTTGGGGTCAGAAGGAATTTTTTCCTAGTTTGTTGCAAAATTGGAAGCACTTCAGACTGGGTTTTTTGCCTTCTTTTGGATCAACAGCAAAAACATATGGGAGGAAGGCTGAACTTGATGGATGCAAGTTTCTTTTCAGCTAACTATGTAGCCATGTAACTATGAGATAATGGAACAGTCTCTAAAATCTTAGCCAGATGTTATATTAGTTAAATTGGTGGTGGGAACTGGTGGTGGGAAAATAATTAAGCTAAGCATATTATGGCATTTATATTTACCTCAATAGAGAGCACTATTGGCTATTTCTTTATCATTGCATTTGTACCACTCCATCACCATTTTGCTGTGAAGGACTGCATGAAGAATATCCTGCAAGTGGGGATAAAATACCACTGCATGTTGTTTTATCCAGAGCCGATCTAGCTCTAGAATATGCGAGTTGGCACTTTTAGACCTTTGTGTTGTTTTTCATACATTTCTACTACAATACTGCACTATTGGTCTTTTCCTGTTTGTGTTTCTTTTCAAATGCTGCTACTGATCAAAGTGGTTCTACAAGCATTTTATGAAAATTGGATGTAGGACTTTTATTTCTTTTAGATTGTGTCTTATTATCTGGTAATTTGTGTGACCTTTTTACCTCTGAACTGCTATAAGGACTATTTTTATTGTATTTTATCTCTTTTAGATCTTTTATCTGTTATTTGGCACTACCTGTTTTTTTGTTTTACTTATATAAGTATAAATTTATGAAACCTGCTGAAGCCACTCTTTCCGTGTGAAAATGACAACAAAACGTGCTTGTATTATTACTGGGACTGCTACAGCCTTCGTGTTCTTTCCCTGTGTATTTGTCCACCTTTTTTTTGGTCACTGGCTATTACCACATCCATCACCACAGTCTTCC